CCACAGTTTTAGTCATTAGGTTTTGCTTCCTTACGTTCCTTCACCAAAACTTTTAGTCCATTATGTTTTGCTTCCTTTCCTTCATCCAAAAGCTTTTGTCCACAGTTTTAGTCATTAGGTTTTGCTTCCTTCATTTCCTTCACCAAAAGACTTTTTGCCCACGGTTTTAGTCATTAGGTTTTGCTTCCTTCAACTCTTTCCCCCACAAGAATTGTCCACAGTTTTAATCATTAGGTTTTGTTTCCTTACTGTCCTTCACCAATAATCTTTGGACCACAGTTTTAGTCATTAGGTTTTGCTTCCTTGCTTTCCTTCACCAACAATTTTTGTCCACAGGTTTAGTCATTAGGCTTTGTTTCCTTACTTTCCTCCACCAAACAACTTTTTGTCCACAGCTTAAGTCATTAGGTCTTGCTGCCTTACTTTCCTTCACCAAAAAGTTTTTGGTCCACGGATTTAATCTTAGTCCTTTGGTTTCGCTTCTTTAAATTCCTTCACAAAAAAATTTGGTCCACAGCTTCAGTCATCAGATTTTGTTTCCTGCAATTCCCTCACCAAAAATTTTGTCCACTGTTTTAGTCCTTTGGTTTTACTTCCTTGATTTCCTTCACTAAACAATTTTGGTCCACAGCTTTAATCATCAAACGCTGTTGTTTCAATTTGTTCACCAATATATTGTCCACAGTTTTAGTCATTAGAGTTTGCTTCCTCAATTCCCACCTTCGCAAAACAAGCAACCAATGCTTGCCAAAAAAGAGCAATGCTTCCAACGCCCATTCCAAAAACAAATGAACCGCAATGAGTTTCAATTAGCAGCGCTTGCCTTTTACGCAAAATTATAACTATGATAGTAGCTGTTGATTGCTCTCAGCTTGGTTTACAAAACTGAATCATAGTGTAAATAGAAAAAATTGCTGAAGCTTGCTGCATGTCATTTCTCTGGTCGGTTTTTGCATTCTTACAACTACTGTTTTTGACCAAAAATCAACACCAATACAAGACAAATATAGATTGGACGAAAAAATATGTATTTTGGGTGCTTGAAAAAATGATGACTAACTTAGCTAACTTTTGAGCTAAACCTAATTAGTTAACTTTTGAGCTAACCACCTGCTAAAAGTTAGCACAGTTAACAAGGTTAGCCTAACTTGTTTTTCTTTTAGCTAACCTTCTTAAAGGCCCTAACAGTTTAACGTATATAGCATACTTTTAACATACATCTAGCATGTCTAACATAGATCTAGTTACTATAGTTGACTCAGATAACCTTTCTCAGTGCTTAGCAGGCACAGGGTTCATCTAAGAACCTCGGACCTCTCCCGCCGCAGGCAGCATCACCAGGAGGGAAACCGGTGGTGCGACAAGGCATCGGTTGGGGAGCGTCGGGAGGCGCCGTGACTCGACCTACTTGGGGAAGGTGATTGTCACGAAATCTGGGTTCGGAGTCCGAGTGCCCGGAAAAACCTGCCGACGCCCACGCGTCGCCCTTAATACCTCCCCGATTGTCAGCGCAGTGTCTTCCTACACCAGGCAGTCTATATGATATACTGTTGGGGTTGGGTAATCTCGTTGGGAAAAACCGGGCCACTCCTGCAGAGCCTTTGCGTCGTACTCGGCCGCTTTGTACACGCGCCCTGCACGGGTCGCAGCGAAGGTCGCCCGCCGCTCTTCGTCTGTGGAGCTGGTGTTGCACAGGTCGTCCAGGTACCTGCACTGGTACCGTGTCTTCGTGTGTTTTTGTCTGTCTGCAACACGTGTCTAGATCGTATCCACACAACAGGACGAGGGGCGCAGCTGCCCCTCTTATTCCGAGAAGCGCCGGCTGAGGGTGTAGACGTCGGCTCAGCCTGCCTGACTCGAGCGACGACCGATGGACGATGAGCGGAGGGAACCTTATTATGGCTCGGTCAAATTCTATAGGGTTTTGTTGCGCTTTGGTTAACTTTTGTCCACAACTCCACGCCCAATCTGCGACACTTCTTCGTTCGACAGCTGCCCTGTGCAAACGGTGAAGACCAAGAAAAGCTTCCAGCACCTCTCTGTGTACGACCCTTCCGTGGCCCCAGACTGCAGTGCACATATTCTACATGGCGGGCGCCCCGTTTCGCCTGCAAGTCCGAGAGTGCTTCCTGCGCGGCCTTCCGCTTGACGCGGATGGCTTCCAGCTCCCGGGAGAGCTCGTTGGCCACCAACGCCATGCAGCTCCGTCCAGGTTCTGCTCCTGGCGGTCGCTGGCGCTGTCGCCGCGCTTCCGGCGGGTCTGTGGCTCGCACCTGCAGGTCGCCAGAGACCCAAAGGCGCGCCACTGCCCAACGCACTCCGACGTCAGAGGGCGTCCAAGACCACTTGCAGCGGTCGCGCCAACACCCACGCACCAGGTCACATGCCTTAGCTGCTGAGTCGGTGGGGCGCGCACCGGTCCCTTGTTGTCGTGGTCAGGTCCGGTCCTCACCGGCCGCCGGGCCGGCGCGCTCTGCCCTTAGGAGACGCGCGGCCCGGCGACGTGCGCGGGCGCACCCTCATTACACCTCATGATGACACCTCAATCCCCTCGTCTGGCCGGTACAAGGGCTTGTCGCCCCACACGTCGGCCACTTCGTCCAATACCTGCTGAGAGGGGACGGTTGTTTCCGCGCCGTTAGACGGCAAGCTCTGCGCTTGCAGGCCTCTGTCACGAGTCTGAAATGCCTAAGAGCAGAACCTTCACAAAATATAAGCAAACTTGTGCCCAAGCAAAGACGTCCAAGAACAAACCAAGGAGTATGTGGCAAGGAGCCACTCTTTCTTTGCAACTGTGTCTCTAAAGCTCTTTTACAAAGTGGGTTGCTCTCCAGGATTTTTTGTTTGCCTCAGGACCTCGACCCCATAATCAACGTAGCAGAACTCATGGCTCCAGTCAAAACACTCAAGATTCAAAACCTTCAAAAAACCGAGTCCGGAAAGTTACGCCGGAGTACGGGAAATTACGCCGGATTTATGGGAAATTACGTTGGAGTTACGGCGCGCCATTTTTTGGCAACTCTCTGCAAAACATTGAGATGAAGAACAACACGCGTTCCACAACCCAAAACTTGTCCGGCTGCAAGCCTGCGCAGCTAGAACTGTTTCCCAGCGCCCCGACATCCTGAAGCAGTGGGACTACATTATCGCCTATGTTCTTTCAGCTTAGGTACACCCACTTGCATCTTTCAACACGTGCATCGCACTGTTTCGAAATCTATTAGAAGATTATCTAAACGCATCTGATTGAGCCAGTGTGAGCCACTGCTGAAGCCGGTGGAATGAGAAAACAGCGGAACAGGCAAACGAGCACACTTTCAAGCAACACTATTTGTCAGTAGTGGGTTTACCTTCAAAGAAATGCGGATCACAAGGAATGCAAAGCCTTGAGAATCCACATAAAGTGACTTGGAAACACATAAAGTGACTTGGAAAAACTGCCGGACCAAATCCAGAAAAAACGCCGGAGAGTGGCTCACACTGGCTCAATCAGATCCGTTTAGGTGATCTTCCATATAAATGAGATCGATACAGTGCGATGCACGTGTTGATAGACGCAAGTGGGTGCACCTAAGCTAAAAGAACATAGGCCATAATGTATTCCCATTGTTTCAGGATGTCGGGGCGCTGGGAAATAGTTCTAGCTACACAGGTTTGCAGAGCCTGCTGGACAAGTTTTGAGTTGTGGAACGTGTGTTGTTCAGAATCTCAATGTTTTGCAGAGAGTTGCCAAAAAAAGAAAGCACGTCGTAACTCCGGCGTAACGTCCCATAACTCCGGCATAATTTCCGTAAATCTTGCGTAATTTTCCGTACTCCAGCGTAATTTTCCGGACTCAGTCTTTTGAAGGTTTTGAATCTTGAAGGTTTTGACTGGAACCATGAGTTCTGCTACGTTTTTTTGGGGGTCGAGGTCTTGAGGCAAACAAAAAAATCCTGGAGAGCAGCCCACTTTGTAAAAGAGCTTTAGAGACACAGTTGCAGAGAAAGAAGGGTTCCTTGCCACATACTCCTTGGTTTGTTTTTGGACGTCTTTGCTTGGGCACAAGTTTGCTTATATATTAATATTTTGTGAAGGTTCTGCTCTTAGGAATTTCGGAAGATGGGCGAGGGAAACGGGAACTGGAAGGCTCCAGTGATTGGGTTGCGGAATAAGTGTGCTCCAGAAAAACTACTCATGGCGCAAAGGCAGTTTGCTCCATTGTGTATGATCCAACCTTTCATCATCTCTGTTTATTTTCAAAATCTTGGATCCGGCTGTTCTTCCAGGTTCTCGGCGTGTTTTTTTTTTCGGAATCCGGGGAAACATTTTGCCGGATTGAGGTCCGGCACTTTTTTTAGCCTAAAAACAAGGATCCAGGTATACTCATATCTTCCTTTACATGTAATTGTTTCTTGTTTCAAATTGGTTGAACACTACGTAGAACATCGTAGAACTACAGCATCCAGCGACTGACATTCAATTACAAGCGACTGAGTTTCACAAAACAACCCCAATTTTACATACGTCGGGGGTCTTAGACAGGTGTTGCTTTCTTCTCGGGGGTCCGGACTGAACTTCTTTCGTTTGGAGATGCTTGGAGGTTTCGTGAGGTTCTGAACGTGAGGATTTCCCGCTTCACCGGAAGCTGGGTCTTGAGGCCGTCGGTGGGTTTGTGTGTGTCTTTGCCCAGGCCTGGAAACTCCTGACTGGACGCCCCTCAGGGGCAGCGGTCCAAATCTCTTCTTTTTCAGTAGTAGAAGCAGGATGCAGCTTCGAAAGCTCTAATCAGGTTGCCAAACTGGTGGAAGCGGTGAATCGGTATCACCAATGGAAAGCGTCCAAGCAGTGGAGGGTCCGGCAACCCGACCTAGATCATGAAAAAGATCGCCATGAAAGGAACGATGGATCCCCAAAAGTCAGAGGATCTTGGTGGTGGATATGTCCTTGATCAGTACAATTTACATCAATTTACAAGAGGGGTTTGGATGGAATCTGACTTTGAGACATGGCCATCTGACTTTTGAGACATATCTCTGATGTGTGAGTTCACTCTGAACGTCACTCCAGTTGACTCGTTTTTCGTTCGCGAGTTCGCCAAGGCACGCTGTTGTATGGAACTTGGTCCAAGAGTAGTCTCAAAGTGCTCATTCTGCCTGACGGTCTGGAGAACACACACACACAGCAGTTCCCGAGATGGTTCAGAATTGTCGGAATCCCAATTTCTAAAAGCAAAGAAGCAAACAACAAAGGAGCTAACAAGGACCTGGAGTCCACTGGGTGTTTCTTTTGACCCCCAAATAGATACAAAAAGTATAGATCCCCACTAAGAATGTCTTAGAAAGCGCTTCGATCAATTTTGGGACCACTATGATCCCGAACAAACAAAGATTCGGAATGGATCCGGCACTTAGCTGCGGTCTTGACCAGCCACTGAAACGGTGGGTTTATCTGGACTCCTTCGAGATGATCACTGAAACCCAGCTGGGACGAAGACCCAAGCCACCATTCGAAGACTGAGGCCAATTGCACCCAACAGCCCAACAGTCAAACCCTTCACCTTTTGGACAAATGTTCTGAAGCCACAGGAACTCCTGTAAAATTGCCTCCAAAAAAGGGAACCTCAAAGAACCAGCCATGTCAAATGCCCAATGTCTTCCACCCAAAAAACCGCTCTGAAACGCTGTGGTCTGCACGCGGTCTGCACGGTCGACCGCGCCGTGTCGACCGGGTCCCAGCGGCTTAAACATGCCAAGCTCTGCGTCCACCGTTCGACGCAGGCGCCCAAGACCGCCGTCGCAGCGAGCAGATCCGGCTCCGCGAGGGGTCTCACGAGGTCACCTGGAGAGGGTCCATCGGGTGTAGGGACGGTGGGCGACGGAGGTGGGAGATGGTGGATTAAAGCCAACGGGAGATGGTGTAGTTGAATACATTTCCCAGACACGACGTTGTGGGACTGCATTGCCAATATTGACCACCCAAAACCACCCCTGGCCTGATCGGCAGTCCTACGGCTGTCCCAGACAGGTCGTGTCTGGGTTTCATTTTATATGTGGCGACACGGACGCGAACCTGGCCCAAGGGTACTTCCCTCTCGACCTCCCGCTTCACCCACATGAGAACTGACGATGTACAGCCACAGAACGCAAGCAGCTCGCGCGAGCTGCTTGCGCGGCTCAAATGGGACACAAACGCTGGAGTCCACTGGAGATGTCTGGTCCTCATGGCTGCTGCAAGCCCTTTGGCCCTTGCACTTATAATGGTCCCGAAATAGACTGCGGTTTCCAATCGAATACATTTTTTAGTGGAGATCTACTCAGCCCTTGGCCCTTCCAAACGCTTGGAGCATGGGGAGGAGGTCTTGTCGACCTAGGGTCAGTGCCGAGGTTTGCGCGAGAGGAAGCAACATCAAACGGCGTAACGGTCACCGGAACAGTTGCTTGATTGACATGGTTTGCATCACCTCAGATCAACATAGCTGAGTTCCTCTTCGACTGGCATTTTCACCTATAAGTACATTCAAACAAGCATCAAATATTGTCACACAACCTGGCCCCAAACTTCAATCTTTTGTGAGAATCCTCTTCAATTCTGTTCTGTTCTTGAATCAAACAGCGTTCCTGGCTAATGCCTCTGGCATAGGGCTTTTCTAGGGTTTCGTGGGCCCGTGGAAAGGCTCCAGGCCACTTTGACTCGACCCAATGGGCCAAGCAAGGCTCTCCCTCGCTCAAAAACACCCATCACACCTGCCAGCTGCCACAGTGCCACTTCTTTACCTCAAAACCATGCGGCAGCCACAGTGCCCTCACCCAAAACACGTCCTGAACGAGCGTTCGCAATATGGTTTTGGTTCCACTGGGGCGGACATGGTTTCAAGTTTTCAGGCGCCCGCAGCACAGGTGTTAACTCCGCTGTGGTACACTTCGGTGGAAACTGGCAGTGTAACTGTCGCCGCCTCCAGTAAACAGCTGTGTTTAGTGTTTGTCTAGCCCTCTTTCCGGCAAGACCTAAGAATCATTCGGTATCAGCTGTGCCCGACCCGTTCGACCCGCAGCAAGGAGGTATACACTTGGACCAAAGCACCTGGATGGCATGGCCTCTGGTTTCCAGACCACTTTGCTCTACGAACAGGGGGTGAACTCCTGTTCGTAAGTGGGAGAGTCTAACATCCAATCATTGACTAATAGATTTGGCCAATTTCCTGACAGTGACAACCAACGGAAAACTGACACCAAAAAGTTGCCGAACTCAAACCAACATGGCCTCCATCTTCTGGGAGATCCGCTTTTTTGTTGAGTCTCCGCTGACAAGTGACATGCCGAGACCGCCTGTCCCAGCACAATACTGCTTGGTGGCCTAGGGGCAGGCATGACATTGGCATGCATGACGCTGAGCTTAAAGATCATTTGGATGATTAAATCAAAAGATATCAAAAGGAATAAACGATATGTAATCAACCCAGATCCCTTGATTTCAAGGCTCTTTGAAGTATCTACCATCCTCGGAACAACTGACACCGAAACCGGCAGAACCAAACTCACGCTTAAGCTCCAGAGCGGGCTGTCGACGTATGTCCGGAAGCTGTCGACGTGTTGAGTCCTCGAAACCATTCCTTTCCTTCCAGCTACCTTGTTTGTAGTGGGTAACTGCACATACCAGGGGTCACATGTCGGGGTGGTGTTTGGTCCCATCCAGTGAGTGGAGTAGCTGGGCACCCCTAACCTCCAATAGGCACCCCTTTGTGACTCCTGGTAGATATATTCCACATTGAAGTATATTCAAAGCCACCCGGGATCAATCCCGGTTGATCCCGTGAACGCATAGAAATGCAGACTGTGATATCCATTACCATCAATTGCATATTTACATACATACCAGCAGAACTGGGCGAAGTGAAGAACTTCTGACGTTGCGGTCCGTGCGTGCCGTGTGCAGCCGCAAAAAACGCGTACACGTCAGAAACTGCTGGACCGCTGGACCCTTGAAATCTCTGAACTGCCCCCAAGGTGCAAATCTTGATATTCTGCATATTTGATAAACCGCAAACTCTGTTGCCTCATCCAAGGCGGTGCCAAGCGCACGCTGACAATTGCCTTTGGAACGCCAATTTTTCTGCAAAAGGGCCGTGGTGGGCGGCAAAACTGACTGCTTTGCCCATGGTTTTGCAGTGCTTTGGTGACTGGACTGTTCCGCTCTGGATCCACTGGAGCTCTGTTGAGCTCTCACGGAGCTTTCAAAGCGAGGAAGATACGCCTTTTGGTGTCACTAATAAGACACAATCTGGGCGTCTCTGTTCGATGCTTCAACGGGTGTCCTAACTCGGAACTGTCCTTGGTTTCACCGAGGCGACGGTTTTTGGCATCTCCTGGAGAACTCATATCTGTGGACTGGGGTCTCTAAAAGAAAGAAAGACCACAAGAACGGACCACAGGAACGGAGCAAGGGACGTTTGAGGTTTGGATTCATGGTTTGATCCCGGAAGCCGGGACAGTACCAGGAATGGGGTAGACTGGGTCTAGGCACGGTATAGCTTGACCCACCAAAAATACTTTGTCATCGTTCACTGAAACATAGATCCCATGGCAGTGGTGTCAATGGACCCAACAAGCTGTTGTGTCAAGTCATACCCTACACCGACTTCGTCGTACCTCCTCAGGTACGGTATGACTGGACCCTCCTGGCACCCACCCCAGTCCCTCCTCAAAAGGTACTTGGAGGCCCAGGGATAAACATCACAAGCACAGTCCGAGCCCATCCGTGTGCTGCCCAAGCAGCCAGCGCTTTCGGCAAGATCCCATAGCAGTGCCTACTGAGCTGGACTCAGCCAACGCTTGAGGTCAATGGCTTGGAGTTGCGGCCCCCAGGCAGGGGGGACAAAAAGACAAAGATTTACCGTTTCGGGGCTTCACTGAGAAATCAGGGTTGGGAGATGTTGGGAGATGTTGGGGACATGGGCAGTGAGGCACATGCAGGCGACCAATGACCGATGGGACCCAGATCGATCGGTCAGCGGGCTGTTGATCATGTAAGATGCAAAGGAGACTCCAAACCCAGAAGTGGTCATCATCTACCTCGTTCATCATATTCTACGTGATCGTCACCATTCAACAAATCTATACCTCAAGCGCTTCAATGTTCATCCCGCAAGAGTACTTGTGGCCACGTGCAAATGAGTCTATGGATGTTTGAGTTTATCGTAGCTCCTGTAATACATGGTCATCATCGACCTTCACCAACATCTGGGTGTGTTTAGAAATAGGGACCTTCCAGTTCGACCCCAAACAAGAGGGAAAATAGACGGGTCAACCTGTTGGCTGGGGATCTCTCTACAACCCTTCGGCAACTCCGACGGAGTTCCACGCAAAGAAGCCACAGCAAATCAGATCGATTTCCAAGTCCTTGGGACGGCCACAAAACGGCGAGACGGACGGCGAGCTGAGCGAAATCCGAGCAATTTACATAATCACAAACCACCAAAGACAACGGCAACAACCAACAAAGCTACCAGTGGCCCAAAATCTAGCATAGAAATCATGTCTCTATACACTGGCCAGATGAAAGTTGCGCTTGTTGACGTTGAAACTCATGACAACCCTATCCCCCTAGAATCCTACACCATGAGACAAGGGAAGGTGTGGGCGGTCATTTGTCACCCCGGAAAGCCTTTTATTATAGATTTAAAACGGTGTGATAATTGACCGTCCCATACCTGCCACGAAAATCAGACTTGTTAATTCGATCCGCCGCTGACCTCAGAGTGTTTTGTAAGAAGGCTAACAAGCGTAAACTTTTGTCTGCCTGAAGTATTGACTTTGAAGTCGACGAAATTCTTGGAGATGTCCCCCTTTCGAAAAACACATGGTCAACCAGCGTGCAAAGCGCAATGCGTATCCACACAGAATCAAACAGCTAGTAGTAACCAACAACTACTACCACCAAGCTTTGACCCAAGCAACAAGGTTATTCTGCACGTGACTCAGAACAAATACATACTCTAACTAAGTACGCCCACCGTCCGAGGTTCTAGTCTTGCGACCTCTTGCAGTGATGCAATGGTCATCTCCCACAGCAAGCTCCGGGAGAAAGACTTCAGGGTTCCAGTATGGCCTCAGTGTCAGCGTTTTTGGAAGTTTGGATGTATGTCTGGCTCTGGCTCTGATCCAAAAAGTTCAATCATCTGAGCCCGGCAATGTGAAAAACATCTCTGAGCTTGCTGACGGGTGAGCTCTTGCCCTGCCAACCAGCATGGCTTGGTGGAACACCCCTCAAATTCCCATGCATCTGGCATAGAGAAGGTATCTACATATTCTAGTTGATATCTGAACGAACTTAAAAGACTGCTACACCTGCAGCTGCAGCCTGCAGGAATGCCACATGTTGGGAGCTTGTTCCGTCGCCCAGTCAGTGAGAAGATGTGAGAAGTCCTTAAAGACTTGTCCGCCGAACTCCTCTGCCCGGCCACGGATGAGGTTGGCTTCCAGCTGCCTGCTTCGCATCTCTGCCAGCGCGCCGCGCCAGCTGGTGGGCCTGGGACGTTGGAGACAGGGAGACCTCCCAGGTGTCGGAAAAAGCCCGTTGGAAGGTTCGGAGAAATGTGGGAGTGGTTTAAAATATGTTAAAGGGTGTGTTCTTGATACCAGGAGACCTCCCAAGCAATGGCCCCTTGGAAGAATAAGGGAAATAGGCCAAACTCCATCAAACTCCCGTTGGGCGGATGTCTCCCTATGAATACCCGATTAAGTCGATGAACTGAGACTCTGGAAACTGCTCTGCACTGCTCCCATCAGTCACCCCAAGTTGGTTCACTCCGGTGTTCTGCAGGTTTTTCTGGAACCAACTTTGGGAATCGGAAGAGTCATGAAAAGAAGCATTTCGATGAAGGTTGATGTGTTGCAGAAATCTCCCGTATTGCCAGCTGTCAGCTCTTCCTTCTCATTTTGGTCAGGCCGGGTTCATGATGGATTGATCCAGTCGGACGCTTCGAAAAATAAAGCTGAGCCACGTGTGCTCCGTGGGACACTACAAGGCCGATCATTCTATGATTCGATCCAGAATGACGGATTCTAAGTCGGACTTACTGAAAGAAATGAGGGATACCACAGAATGTAGAACCAGGTATCGTGTTCGCTCCCTCCAGAATCCGCGAGATCTAAACGGTTCCAGCCCAGAAGCCAGCTGCCCTTCCTGAAAGGCTGCTGGTGCCTCACATTCTGACATCTGCATCAAGAAGAACACAGCCATAAAAAAGCCATAGCTTTCCGCATACCAATGGACTACCATACCAGTCTGGAATTCCATTAACACCCCACACTAGGCGTGTATTCCATCTTGATCTTGTTGATGCAGGAATGTTCACTTAAAGGCCCCACAAAAAAGCTACCCAGCAAAAGGGCACCTCTTGAACTGTCCAATGCCCAAACCACACCCCATCGGAACCAGAACCTCAGCTGTTTTGAGTATCAAAGGTTATGTTGGCACGTCTTCCATCAACACCGGTCATTATAGCAATTACCCAAATACCGGGGCCGGGGCCCGTTCGCCCTGCTAGACTGGATCCCGAACGGATGTAGATGGAGAGCTGCGTTCGCTGCTGATACCATCATACCGGTGGAAGATCTGCTTGGGCTGCGGAAGTTTCCACGTTATAAAGATAGCCGTTCACAGGTGGGAACGACATGCCAACTGGCGTCTCAGATCGGTCGAACAAATCCCTTCCCGCCCATGTCGAGCGGAGCTGAACTCTGTGCACTTGGGGAACATCACTCCAGAGCTCCAACAGCTCGAATCTGGAGACCCTCGGCTCGGCTCCTCCCACACTCTGTCACCAGGCGGCGTGCCCTTCACAGCGTGGGCGTTCCCTTCGCGCCATCCCTGCGCTCCCAGAAGCGCCATCCATGGCGGGGCACGAGTGCAGGCGGCCAGGGGCGAACGACGGCTGCGGGACGAGAACAGTTGAGAGATGTGCGTGTGTTATTGATACACAGGGAGACAGACACCCAGGTCTAAAGACTCTCTGGAAATAGATCACGACCCACTGCTTGGGGGGTCTCCCTATTTAAAAATAAATAAATAAATATATATATATATTAATATATAAACTCTACAGCTATGCATGATTCCAGCTTTCTTCAGAGTTCAAAGACCTGGAGTTGAACAACATTATATTATAGGCATTTGGTGTCAAGCTGGTCCCAACACCATCTCTGAAACCAAGAAGACTTTCCAGATAATGAAGATAGGAAGAACTTGTTCTGGTGTGGAATCTCAATGATTCATAATTGTTTTTTTGTATGTCAACACTACTATCCAAACTAAGAAGCAGCTAGAGCATCGCTGTTCATGTTCATGACAAAAATGGACTAGTGACTAGGGCTTCGATTCACTCTTTTTTGGCCAAGCTCTTCCACAGCAGCATCTGCCATGGCCTGCAGCGCTTCCCCGTAGCTTCGGAGATGCCCACTCAAATCCAATGTGGACAGCAACACATCCTCGGTGATTTGACATTGGGATGTCCCAAAGCCTGGCCACTGCCAGGTCTATACACAAACGTTCAAAACAGAAGTGGTGAGAAGCCTCCCTTGAAGGCCACTTGTCTGAAAAATACCTTGTCACGCCAATTGACACACCATTTGACACAACCTTGTCACCAGGCCACTTGCATGACCATATCCAGTCCATCGTGCTCTCCCAACATCTCCAAGATCTCCAAAGCACCGCGCCACACAACTCCAGCAGACAGCGCGCGGGCCGCCGTGGACCAGCACTTTTGGTCGGGTGCCAAGATTGGCGGAACCAGCGGCATTTGATGTAGCAAATGAAGCACCATCCGCCAGTGGCTGCCGCAGCTGGACATGAGGATGTTGTAGTAAGATGCATCCTGAGCGGGGAAGAATCGAGGGCAGAATGAACCCCCTCCAATCTACAACCAGCGCACACACCCACTGAAAACGCATCCTCAGCCAGTTTCGAGAACAAATGCAAATAACTAAACGACCAAACCATACCAAACATTACCAAACCCTTCTCTTCAGGGTCACCTGTATCTTTTGGAGAATAAATCGAGACAAGTCCGCCAGAATAATCGAGGGTGAAGCCTTGAGTTGGACCATCATCTGAGAGAATTCCTGTCACATCATCTGTGAGAAATGGTTCATCAGGTGACTCAAACCACTTTTGCGAAACAGCAGACCACGTCTGCTGGGTGTCTTCCAATTCATGGGCTGCAAGAAGGTGGACCAGAACAGAGTTTGTTGTATTGAGGTGTGCAAAGTCCAGAACAGACTTTGTACATTGAAAAAACGTACCCGTCTTATGGAAAAAAAAACACGAGGAACCCCCCCTCATGTTATAGAGGACATGGTCACGGGCAATATTGATATACAGTAAATTGCATCTGCTCCTGAGGTATGGGCCAACTTTATCCCAACTGGTGCTGAGGTTCATTGAGGTTCAAATGTGTTGTTCAACCTTCAACCCTGTGGTCTCTTCAACGTCCTCCATCACGAAACGATGGATGGCACGTCATTGGCACGGGTGGTCCGACCTACAAGCACCAGTGGTCTTTCAGGCGCACTCGGATTTTGTGAAAGGGTGTTTCATCTCCAAAGAAGGTGCAGGACTCCCGGGTCGTTCTGGATGTGTTTTTTTTGGCGCCGTCTCGATCCGGACTGAAGTCAAATGGCCTATATACCCTAGGCTTCCTGGCCAACCATTGATTTGATAGCCTGAATCCCGAAGCACCCTTGTTTTACTAAGGATTTTAATGGATTTTACACTACACAACCAGGTCAACTAAATGGTCTTGGAAGCCTAGGGCGTATACATATATATATATATATGTGTATGCCATACATGGAGTGTTCTTGGAGATGATCTGATCTTTGGAATCTTCCAATGAAGTCCATGTGCGCTGTGTAACATCAAGATTGGATGGTACCAGATAGACCCATCTTTGGGCAAGGATCGACGTCTGCTGTTCTCTTCCATGTGGCTAGTGCCATGGTCCATGCTCCCCTCAAGGAGCACAAGGCACTGCAAAGGCTGGTGCGGGTCATGGCATTTGCTTCAACGCCCACGTTCATCATAGCCACCAGTGAGTCGAAGCCCAACTCCCACTGCAATGCCTGCGCACAGGCCTCGGCACAAGAAGGGGTGAGCCACTGCCGAAAGAGCATCGACACGGGGATGGACTTAGTCAAAATGGCGAACTCATGCAGATTGCGTGGTGTTTCATGGGTTGCCCTTTGACCAGCAAAACCATTGATTTTGAACCTGACCTTGCCGTCCCATGCCAGTCAAGACCCCGCCCGCCCTGCTTGACCCATTGCCACCATACCCGTCCACCTCTCATGGAAGCACCGGTCCACCTCTCTTCGCTCCCACAGGCGCCCACGGGCGCCCCCCGGGTTCCTTCGTTACGCTCAACAACCAAATCGGCGAGCTGGCGCCCGCAGCGCCTCCATCCGGGCCGAGAAGGTCACCACATCGGGCTGCAATGACGAGGAAGACAAGCCACGAAAAGCATCAAAGGCCCGAGGCCATTCGGAGGAATCTGAGCTCAGACTGATCCTTGGAATCTGAGACAGTATGAGCAAATGAGCTCATGTTCGCCCTGATGTTCCCTTTTTCTGAGGTGAAAACAGTTTTGAAAACAGCGCCTGTTTCGACCGAGATTTTGCCTTTCGCGCGAGCAAAAGCACCTACATACAAGTCATTGGACCCCGAAGTGTGATTGGAGATTGGTCGCTCTTCCACATGTTCAAGGCTCCATCTGAAATTAATATCTTATCCAAAACAACAAAATCAAAGATGTTAGATAACGTGATATTGCACATATGACAATACAAAACGTTCCAGGGGCTACAAATTGGGGCAGCTTAACTGGGTACCCCACAAATACTTCCATCCACCCCAACTTGGAACCTCTGCTTAAACAATTTTCGGTGGTCAAAGCATTGACTCCAATGCGGTCACCTTCAACTTGACTTGTCGACATCTCTTGCAGGATGACCAGTGCTGACTGCCAGCGCTTCTGGGAGGCGACGACCGAGTTGTAGCCTCAAATGTCTAAGAGCCACTCATCAACACACATGCATTTGGAGTCGACTGTAGTCTCCAAATTAAGGCAACGACGCAAAAAATACTCATGGATGATGGACCATGTCACAACTTTGTTTGGGTTCATTTTGCTGCAACAGTTCTTGTTCGATGCTGTAAAGGCTCTTTTGGACCTGTCACTTGTCACCTGTCACACCCCCTCAATCAACCGAGGGTTCGAGGCCGACTATCGAACATTACAGATTTACGCGGAAGAAGGAGTGGTGTTTTGCAAACAAAACATGTTCCCTTTCCTTTGACTGGCTATAAAAAGGACTTCTGCATATGAAGATTGAAACGAAGATTTAAGGCACACGAATCAAATCGATTCAGATACTTTCACATACCTTGATACCGATGGACAGGGCACATCTGGCACCTCATGGATAGGACCCGGGGGGGGACAGGGGATCATCTGCGCACACAGCCAAGATCATCTGCGCACACAAATCTGGATCATCTGCGCACACAAATCTGGATCATCTTCGCACACAGGGCACATCGGGTGGTGGGGTGGGGTGGGGCTAATGACGTTCACCTCGACTAGCATTCATATCCAATATCCCAGTGTTGAAGTAAGGGTGC